TCAAAAATAACAAAAGATCAATGCAAATATCTATTCTAATGAATAACCTCAATTCCATGTTGGCTACAAAGTATGATTACTTTGTTGTAATATCAAGACTATTTGCCCTTGCCACAAGCTAAATTATTGTGGACTTAAATTATTTTATATTTATAAATAAATCAATTTAGTTGCTTATCAATTACATCTACGAGAGTCTATAAAGATCCATCATATATTTTATCTATCTCTTTTTGAGCCATATAAGATAGTAGATATACCAAGAAGAAAAAAAATATGACATCTTCCTATAATAGTAAATAATAATAAAAAATTTAAGATCAAACAAGTCTTAGAGTCAAAGCAATACCAAAAGAGATTAGAATAACTTATACATTGGTACAAATATAATATTAATGAATGCAAATAAAAGCTACTCAAGAATCTTGCAAATATAATAAAGAAGGTTGCTACTTTTCATTAACAACATCTATCAAAACCAAGATAAGGAGTCAAATAATTCTTTGCTATAAAAGAAACAAGATTTAGTAAAGATAGTATTCTCTCTTTTATCTTTGTTTGTGGTTGATGTGCACTTGTAGCACTAAAAAGATAAAAAATCAGCATGTAGCATATTCAATTTAGGAACTATTATTCATTGAGTTACTAGATAAGGTATTGATATTATTATAACCTTCAAGACAAGATAAAAGAAATGAAGACTTTTATGAATGATATGTATTTTTTAAAACATATGTTGAAATATAATGTGTTTGATATCACAACCTTGGAAGAAACTATCAATGTTTAGTGAAATTATTAAAGGTAAAAACCACCTTTGATGGTTTTTAAAAAATATATATTTGAAAGGAGTTATAAAGCCTCAATAATGATCAAATTAGAAGGTGGTATTTTTGCCATAATATAAATCATTGTGAATGGCTAATAAAACTTATTACTTACTTTAAAAAAAAAAAACAAAGATTAGAATATGTAATAAATTTAATTTATCACATCTTAGACTTTTTCAACATGGAATCATTGCTCTTTGTGATACTTATTTCTAAAAATAGAAAAGAAATAATTTTATAGATATATATATATATATATATATATATATATGTGTGTGTCTAAATCTAAAAATTAAATTAAAATAAACTAATTTAATATATATTATAAAAGCTATTTAGAACTTTATATATACTAAATTTAACTTTATACATACTAAATTTAACTTTACATACATTTATAAGTGATTGATAGGTTGAAACTTAGGCAACAAGTAGGGTACTTGTTGTATATGTTGGCAACTTGTGGTACAAGTAGGCAATATAGAAAACTTGTCTTGCAAGTTAGACATATAATCCATAAGTTGGACATGTATTGGAGGTTCTACAAAATGTAACCATATAGCTTCTATTTAGATGGTATATATGGAAGGAAGAGTGAAGCCTTTCTTATTCATGTCAATATCTTTTTTTATTTTTAATCTTATTTGAAGAGTCTCTAGTTTTCTTATTTTTTGTAATAGCCATTATAGTCTTAATATTATACTATCTTTGATTGATTATCTATTCTTTTTTAGTAATATAAGAGTATAGTGATCTTTTGGTTCTTTGTGATTCATGTCTTTGAGAACTATATGAAAACAAAGTTGTATAGATATTTTTATTGGAATATAAGTTACAAATTTGGTATTAAAGATTTATTGCTTGTAATTAAGCTGACCATGTTAATTTTTTAAATTAATATAATTTTATATTAAGTTTTTTATAAGAATTTATTTTTTAATGTTATATTTATTCAAATAAATATTTTATATCATATTCTACTAAATAATATCTTTTATTAAAGTAATGCAAATTTCAAATTAATGTTTTTTCTTATAAGAAATTAAAATATTAGTTAAAAAAAAATTCTAAAATACAAAAAATCAATGTACTAAATAAAATCATATCTATATTACAAATTTATCACAATCTATACTTCAATTATTTGTAATTCTAAGTTGTATATCTCATTTAATAATCGATGTTCTTAAATTTCAATATCTTTTTTTGTAAATTTATGTATAAACACACGATCTAGTTGATATTTGAAAAAATATATATGTTTGGTATAAAAAAACATACTCAAAAAAAAAAAAATTGTGTGTGTCGAAGAAGCACCAAGCAAAGATTGTTACCAACTAATTCTCTCTGGAAACGAAGACAATTGTAATTGTTACAATATGCTTTCCAAGACGAATGCCAACCAAGGCAGAATTAGTTGCTTGCAGTGGTAGAAATCAATAAAGCCTTTAGATCAGAACTACGTATCTTTCACTAACATGTGATTAATGTTCAGCATTGAAGAATTGTGCTGGAAGCAAATGCAAAATAGACGGATATATTGTAAAACTCAGGAAGAGCTCTCAATTATACAATGTCTTGAGCTAGTGGCTCTCCAGGAATCAGGTTCAACAGGATATGGATTCATCAAAGTAGGAATTAAATAGGTTTCTGAGCTTCTGGTTGAAAGAGGCAAAAAGGACAGACATCCTACAGTATGTCAAAACAATTCATACAAAACTATCACTGTGTAAGTGACCGAAGAGTTCCGGTTCAACAAACTCTAACAGACGGCCCTAAAATGAGGGCTATCTTCGACACCGGAGTTCGAGCCGCTTAATCATACACTAACGATTACAGTTGTCACAGCACACACTTCAAATCTCCGTGCATTGTACGATTTGGCTGGGATACTGCTCCAGCAGCGAAGCTCGGTCTTGAAGTCGGCCGGCACGTGAAGGAATTAAATCCCTTGCTTAAACTCTTTATGACATGCAATACTAGTGGCGTCAGGCTGAAACAGTTCCAAGTGCCGAACTACACCGTGCACGGTGCAGACGCTAATTAAAATATCTTCGCAGCTCTCCGCAATGTCGGAGTTACAAATCACGGTCGAAATTTTAGTTGAAAAAGGTCCTAAAATCGTCAGGGAACTATTTCAATAGGAGCGATGCGTCATTCCCTTGATTTGACAGATAGTCAACGGTCAATCAGAAGTGTTCGGATCCAACTTTACAACAACTATATATGGAGGATTGTACCCAAAAAGGAAAACGAAAAAAAACCAGAAACCAAAGCTGACCAGTCTGTGAGGCACGACGCACGACATGACTGCAGTTATAGAACCTCGTAGGACTGAACAGTTGACATCGAATTTAAGTAAAGTTGCAGAAAAGTTAGCTTTCACTTTCTAGTAAATTCTGGAATAAATATATTTTAAAATAAATATGTATATAGATATAGATATTCCCTATTATTGTGTGATGTTTGAAGAATTTTTTGCCAAATTCTTGAGATATTGATGAATTAGATTGTGTGAGGAATTTCAGATTTTGTAAAACCAACGAAAGGAATTCAAAATTTTTATGATTTCTACGATGTTATTAAATATGTGGAAAAGAAGTAGATGACTTAATTTTTAGAGATGAAAATTATAAAATTAAACCTTAAAAATGAATAATTTATACATTATAGGAAAAAATGTCAAATTAATCTTTTGAATAGAACTAACGTGTTACTGCATATTTGATGCATTTCTTTTAGTGATTTTAACTGCCAGAGTGCTATGAATTAAACATTTTTTCAAAGCTAAAATTTAATATATTTTAAAAACATTCTATTTTAAAATATATAACTTTTATTTGTGAAGTATATATTTTAGTATATATATATATATATATATATAGAGAGAGAGAGAGAGAGAGAGAGAGAGAGAGAGATAATGCATACATACATGTATCTTAAGGGGGTACATACGTACATACATGTACTTATCTTTATTTTCTTATGCAAATTGATTTCACTTACTCTACCAATTCAAATGAAATGGATTTTGTTTTTGTTTTTGTTTTTTTTAATTTTCTTGTTGTAATACTTATAAAGTTGTTCAGAAGACAAGAACTTGGTCAATTATATCGCAATTTTTTATATTTTATTTTGCAGCTTTCATTGGCAATTTGGAAACCTTAACAATAATTGTTTCATACCAACTTACATATGTTATTAAAAAAACCTGTATGCAATATTAATTTTTATCCAATCTTAGATTTTCAGCACATATTTTTATTAATTTTTTGGACACCTTAATTAGATTATTTTTTAAAAAATGAAAAATTTACATTATCCAAGATCTTATAATTTTTTGTTTAATAGTAGGTATATTTACATTTTATTTTTCTTTGAACAAACAAACATGTGTACACAAACTACTACCTGTATGTAATTCTCTTGTCAAGAATTGCCAACTTATTCTTATTTGAGGCTCTCCTCAAAATTTATTTTGATTTATATCTAAAAATTGTTAGTTGAAATTTATAACCAACAGATATGTTGTTTACTAAACAAAAGAATACAGTTCAATTTTTTTTATTGTGTATTGTGTATTTTTATTTTATTTTTTACTCTTTTCAGTTTAAATTTTATCAGGCTAATTTAGACTTGCAATAAAGAATAAGGTAGAATAACATTAATATTTTTATAGATTCCCTCATGACTAAAGGAGTCACAAGGTACATGATCTCTAAAAATAAACTGATTCTTATATATAATTCTAGATTTTTTTAATCGAGTATTTTATTTATTAAATCACACCATTTTGCAATACTAAATATAATCATAATTTTAATTACAATAAAATATTATTTAATTTTAATTTTACGAAAACACACATTGAAACAAATTACATGCAACATCGACACATAATCAAGGGCCGTAAGCACGGAGAAGGATGATTAGGGTACAAGGGTTTGAAGATCACGGGTTGCGCCGAGGCCCGTGACTAAACTGGGGATGGGGGAGAAGCGAGGGCGGTGCTCCACCCTTCGGGGAACGGGTTTGACGGGGTCCACAGTCCCGTGACAACCGTCCACGCCGGGTCGTCTTCCTCCCCCTCCTTTGCTGCGAGCGCGCCGTGGACGGCGAGCTCAAATTTAGGTTGAGCTTGCCCTTCTTTGTCGCAATTCAAGCCGTGTGATCGGGGCGATCGGACTGTCCATGCGCTTCGTAACCCCAGTCGTTGCCCAGTCTTTGCCCCATGCATCCAAGCATCTGTCTCCGTGGAAATTTTCCCGACGTGAAGCGAGCGTTCTCTGTTCGCACATGGCTTTGGAAACGAAGCCGTGTCGTGAGTCTCGATTGTGCGCCTGTGGGAGCGGATTGATATGAGCCTGGAATGCGATTTGGATCAGCGCATGTTGATCAGTTGCTGTTGTCGTTCGATCGTTTATCTTCTCGAATTGTTGTTCTCGATCGTGCAGCTGAACTGTTGTTATGATCAGATGTAGTTTTTTTGAATTGTTGAACAATTGAGCTGATGAGTGGCATCCAGTGTGATCAAATATATCGTGAGGTGAGGACTGGGGTGCCATCGTAGGTGTTTCGTGTGCTAGAGCTCAGGTACCTTACTGCGTGGCTCGGTTTTGCCAGCCTCCAAATAAAGGTCGATTTGCCTAGCTCTTAGTTATTATCTGTGCTGAGAATTAAGTAGTGCTTTGAAGTTATTTTGGAACTCCGAGGCTAGCCACTTGTGCTGTAATTACATGTTTAGCAGAGGATCTCGCGCTTCAGTAGCTTTAGGGAGATTTGTAGACTAAGGGAGATTTTTAGACTATGAGATTGGATTCATGCACACCGTTATTTCAACTGTATATATATTATTAATGTAGTAGCTACCTTGGCCCATTTTTAAATTTAAAGTATATTTTTGTTTGCTTGAATTATTATCGAAGGCGAAATGTTTGCAAGCTCTGCACTCAATATGACGCGACTTGGTTCGAAGGATGATTCTTACGGACTAGGGAGCGTGATTATGATCTATAACTCTTAACTAGGGTCAATCCACCTTAGACTTCTGTGGAGGTGTGCGTGTTTGGATGCCCTCGTGGGAAATAGAGCCAATCTAAGCTCTCTTCGCAAGCAACGTTGAGAAGTTAAGGTGCATTCGAAATCGGCAGCTTGTAAGATGGGATTTCTATTACAACTTAGTACATTGTGAGTCAACTCGCTCGATTTTTCACTCTCAAAGCTGCACTTGCTTCCTTGATCACAGGATAATTCTGGTTAAGGGTGTGGAAAGCTTCAAAATTTTAAGAACGCTGCCTTTTGACTTTTCAGCAAGGATTCAGTGTTCCGGTTGCTTGATACACTGTCTCCAGCAAGTCAGTCTTTATTGGAGAAGCAAGGAAGTACGAAGGGACGGTATACGCGGCACATATCTGACATGGCTGGATCAATGAACTTGATTGTCAATCCTACATTCATATGGGGCTCAGACCATGGATGGCAGCCTATTTGCTGCTCCATGTCTATTAGCGATAGACTTCCTCAATGTGGTGGTCCACCAAGTGGACATCGGTTCTATTGCATCGCGCACAATCGAACACAAGTGTGGCAGGGTATTGCGCAGGATATTTCTAGCCGATTGAAGGTTAGAATCGGACACTGAACACTAAGATCTGACTTGTGAATACCATTTTAATCATTCTGATATATTGTGCGGTTTGGAGAATAAATTTTCAATTTTGTCGAGCGAAATTGAGTGTGGTTTGTCCTAACACTTGTCACACACTTCACAATTCATCCAGGTAGGTATGGAGTACAAAGTAGAGGCCTGCGTATCTATATCTGGTCCTGTTGAGCTAGCCGATGTGCGAGTCACATTAAAGCTGGAACATGCAGAGGGCCAAGTTACCTACACCACTCTTGCGAGGTGCGCACGCGCTCCATTAATTGTGCATGCAAACTCTGAAGAAGTTCAAGGGGAATGATTTTTGGGAAGGATTATGAGTGTGATTCCGATAATTTTGTGTGGTATGGAGTGTGATGGAGGTAGGATAAGCGTAGCTGAGTGGGAACGGCATGAATTTTGTGCATGCTACTTGATGTTGGCGCTCTTATCTTTTAGACTTGGTCACTTCTGCTGTATATGTTGCTCATAAGTGTGTTTTAGGGTGAAACTCTTACACTGATACTTCGACGTCTGAAGTTGACAAATAACTATTGAGAGTAATTTTTCGTCTGTCTGCAGTGGCCCAGTCTCGAAACGAGAGTGGACATTTTTAAACGGCAATATGGAAGTTAGCAAGGGACCTATCAAAGCTTTAGTTTACTTGGAAGGACCCCCACCAGGAATAGATATACTTGCTAGCTGCTTCTCTATTGCATTATCAAAACCTGAACTTGTAAGTATGTCTGTTGTTCCGTGCCATACTCCGTTCTTGTTTACCAACGTTCAGAACGTCCTTTGAAACGTGTAGTACTTTGTGTGGTGAGAATACTCCGCTGCTACACGAGGACATCAATACCTACATTATTTCCGGTTTCAAATCTTCATAGTTTGAACCTACTTTCTTTTTAAGGTTTCAAAGCACCAATGCTACAGCGGTTTGATATTTGATTATTCATTTTTACTTTTTTTTCCTTTTTTTTTTCCTTCTATGTAAGCTCTTACAGATTTGAAGCATTTTTTGTTTTATTTTGCAGGAAGTAGTCAAGTCCCGCAAGATAACTTTCAAGAAGTTCTAAGTTTTACTTAATGTTTTTAGTGCTATTGTCGGATTATAATGTATGATGAATAACTTCATGTGTTCACATTTTCAGGACATGAAAAATCTCTTAATTTGATTTGATTTTCAAGTTATTGTTTTATGACTGACTTATATAGAGTTGAAAATATACCTTGCAGCAGTGCTCAAATAAAGAGCCCAATGAGGTGAACATTCATGGAAATGTCCTTGTCAACCCAACTTTCGACACTGGAGTTCAAGGATGGTCAGGAATCTGCTGCAAAGTCGCGCATTCGGGTATGCATGGTTGGAAAGGCATTTACGGACCTAGAGGAAAACCGTTTGCCTTGGCTATTAATAGAACCGAGGCTTGGCAGGGGATGGAGCAGGACATAACTACTCTAGTGCAGTCTAATGAAACCTACCTTGTGACAGCGGTGATCCGCACCGCTGGGAAACCTCATCAAGGAGCCAATGTGTTGGCCACAGTTCGACTTGATTATGGAGGCTCCAATCCACGTTACGTATCTGTCGGGAGGTATGTGGTGTCTTTGCAAGTGCTTATATCTGCGTTTGGATACAATCCTGCTTCTGCTTAGTGTGGATTAATGTGTTCATTTCCCCTTGAACTATGTCCTTGAAAGTGCCCCGATCTTGTGAAGTTGGGCTAATGTTTGCAGATTATTCATGTACTTCGTGATGGATCAGTTATTGATGGCAGACTGAATTTATTCGTGATGAATGTGGACAAGCTTCCAGGGTGAAGGCGTCTAGTACAGAGTGGGCTACACTCGAAGGCAGGCTTCACTTAGACACTCACCCTCGAAAGGTAGTTTTTTATTTGGAGGGACCCCCTAGTGGCGTTGATCTACTGGTATCCACAGTGATTATCAAGCATGCCAATCCGCCGGAGTGTGAGGGATCTCCTCTTAAGAGAAAGGTAAAAACGCCCGATAAATTGACCTACAAGTTTCTTGAAGGCGTCCTCACGAATCTAAGGACTTCCTCGTAAATTAAGAACCACAACTAATTGTATTTCATTCCCTTCAAAATATTTTTGAGTTCTTTACAAAATATTTCGTACAAAAAAATTTATTTTTGAGTTCTTTTCCGAAAAATTACTCTTCAAGTTGTCTCTAATATCCCTGCGTGCAATATTTACTGGTTCAACTGTCTCATTCACTACTTAATAAATGGTGTGATTTATTCGAAAGTCCCAGGTTAATAAGTGTATGCATTGGAAAAAGAAACTGATATTCATACTTTTGCATCTCATTAGAGAACAGAAGCAAACAGTACGCGAACCGGAATTTCTGATAGCATTGTGCGCAATGCTACATTTAGTCAAGGTTTACGAAATTGGAAGCTCAGAGGCTCTAGAGGTTTTGTGTGCAACTGCCTCGAGAGCCCAGAAGTTCTTCCATTGGAGGGAAAGTCTTTCGCCGTCGCCACCCAACGTATTGCCACCTGGTCCGGCATCGAGCAGACCATCACGGATCGGATAGATCTCGAGACAATTTACGAAGTTGCAGCTGCTGTTCGCATTTCTGGCTCTTGTTTAAAGGCAACTGTGAAGGCCACTCTGTACCTCCGAGAAGCTGACAACAGCGAGCGTTACATCACCATGGGAACGTAGGTGGATCAGCAAACGTCCATCTTTGTTAATCAGGGCTATGTAATCCATTGAAGTTGTGACTGTTACTTATACTATTATTTGTTAATGTTGGTGCAGCGTGGAGGCGAACACTACGGAATGGAAACTGTTGGAGGGCAGGATGATATTGTTGAAGGCACCATCTTACGTGTCCGTGTACTTAGAGGGTCCGCCACCAGAGACAGATATTCTTGTTGATAGTTTCTACATACGACCTGCGTCAAAACCAGAGCCACCCAACCCTCCTATCATTAAGGTAAGTATTTCATGGGCTTATGCTGAGATACGGTTGTTTTATCCGCAACTGCAAGTGTGTCGCCAAAATTATTTGAGCTTTTACCCGAGGCCGTCCAAGTGCCACTGGAACAATTTTACCCATTTGCAGTATAGAATGCACATTGAACGGGGTCACTTCTCAGTTATCTGTAGAGTATGTAATCGAAAGCAATGACCAACACCAGCGAACTTGGAATTCGTGGCAGGATCCCAAATACGGTGTGAATATAATTGAAAATCACGACTTGCAACATGGTTCAAAACTTTGGTTTGGACAGGGCTCTGCTCGACTCTCCGTTGCCTCCGGGGCTCCAACTGTCGTTCCACCTGCTGCAGCTCTATCCCTACCGTGCTCGACTAGTTTGAGTGGGAATTATCTTATTGCGGCTAATCGTACACAAGGGTGGGAGGGTCCTGCCCAAAATATTACGGACAAGTTACAGCTCTTTGTGGTCTATCAAGTCTCAGCTTGGGTACGTGTTGGGAAATGCCGTGGAAAGACAGGGCAAAAAGTGAATGTTGCTTTGAGTGTGGATGGAAGTTGGATGACTGGAGGAGAAGTGGAAGTTGATGAATACTCATGGAAAGAAATAATGGGGTCCTTTCGGCTGGAAAAAAAGCCTAACTTTGCCATGGTTTACGCTCAAGGACCAGAACCTGGTATAGAGCTTATGCTCGCTGGTAGGTACCTTCTCATCGCTATTTACAGTTCATTCCTTTGTTTCACCTTGGATCCTCTTTCAAAGTGAAGGTTTAACTTTGGGTAAATATGCAATGCAGCTTTAACCATGAAATTTATGTTCCCTGTCTTTAAAGTTTTAGTAACATCCTGGGTTGATGAATGGGATGGCAGGGTTACAAATATTTGCGGTCGACAGAAGTGCACGAATTCCAATCTTGAAGGCACAAGCTGACAAGGTGCGCTGGCAATGTTTTAATAACTCAGCCGTCAAGGATCAATTCTGTAATACTTTGTGGTTAGTATCAGTTGTATATTACTAACCGTTACCGTGAACATACTCTGAAGTTTACTCTCATGTATATATTTTCATGAACTGTGTCTTTGCAGATCCGAAAGCGAGATGTGACTATTAAGTTAAAACCTCGCAACAATCGGCATATTCCACCTGGCGTATGTGTGAGGATTGAGCAGACAAGCAGGAGTTTTCCGCTAGGTTCATGTATCAACCGTTGGAGTCTAAACAACAACAGCTATAAGCAGTTTTTCCTTCAAAACTTTAACTGGGCAGTTTTTGAGAATGAGCTCAAGTGGAATTGGATTGAGCCTCAGCGCGGCACTGTGAGTACTTTTTGTTACAAATTGCATGCATGGAGCAATGACTGTGAGTCTGATGTCTTGAACCAATATTGTTACTATCTTCAAGAACAGAACTTATGCTTGTCCTCAAGTTTGTGAGTACCATCACGAGGTTGAGAATGCACATTGTCTTAGTAGTTCCTTCAAAGTTGGGACAGAGTGTAATCACTTTCTGTTGGTATTCATCAAAGTTGATTGAAATTTGCTATGATCCCTTGTGAACAGATTAATTACGAAGACGCTGATGAGATGGTGAACTTCTGCTCAGAACATCGCATACCTATGCGTGGTCATTGCATCTTCTGGGAAGACGAGAGCTGTTGTCAGGATTGGCTCAAAACACTCTCTCCCTTAGAGCTGAAAGATGCCTTGCAGAATAGAGCAGCTGACTTGCTTAGACGTTACAAGGGGAAATTTCAACATTATGATGTGAATAATGAGATGCTTCACGGATGCTTTTTTCGAGATCGGTTAAACCCAGACATATTACCCTACGTATATAAATTGGCTCATCAATTAGAACCTGAGGCAGTTCTTTTTGTGAATGACTATCATGTTGAAGACGGAGTAGATGCAAATTCTGCTCCTGAAAAATATGTTAAACATATTGAGTGGCTGCGAAAAGAAGGTGCACCAATTGGAGCTATAGGGTTACAGGGTCATTTGGATACCCCAATTGGTTCAATTATTTGTAATTCTTTGGACAAAATGAGCAGTGTGGGCTTACCATTGTGGATGACTGAAATTGACATTGCTGCAGCCAATGAGCATATTCGAGCAGATGACCTTGAGGTACTTCTTACAACCCATAATCCTTTTGACACTCCCACGCCAATGTGTGAGTTTCGTGGGCACTTTGAGCAGAAGCATAGGTTAAAATCCTCAACCCTCACTGTTTTTTGAACCATCCGATCAACTGAATAGTTGAAGCTCGAATGTCTTAAGTGAAGCAGGTATAACTTCATTTTAAAAATCTAACTTGAAAGAGCAGTTATCAAGTCCGTAAACTTGTGTTTTACTCTTATCTCAGGGTCCGACATGGATGAGTCGTACGGGAATACAGTGCATATTACTGGATGAAACATTATTGTCACATTCTGCATTGTTGCTGATATAAAATGTAAACTTGTGAGCTTATTGGTTGTTTTGAAGGTTGTGATGCGGGAGACTTTTGCTCATCCAAGCGTGGAAGGTATCATGCTTTGGGGTTTCTGGGAAGGAGCGATGTCCAGAGAAAATGGCCATCTTGTCGATTCTGATAAGCGTGTGAATGCTGCTGGCGAGCGTCTCATCAATTTGAGGGAGGAATGGACCACCAGACTCCATGGACAAATGGAAGAGTCTGGGCAATTTTCTTTTCGGGGTTACCACGGAGGATACAAGGCTTTTGTCGAATATGGTGAACTTGGTGAGATTGCAGTAGATTTTGAGGTCCCTAAAGGTGACAGCCCTCTGGTTATTGAGCTATCGCTGTCTTGAAATGTACCATTTTGAACTCTAATCAATTTTTCCTCTGAGATATTTAATTTGGTTACTAAGGTAACGTCATGGAATTACAGGAAGCCAATACCAATGATTGAATGTGACCCCTTAAAGTGATAAATTGATGAGTTAGTAATTTTTTTCACAGTATTGGTATAATACTTTTTGAAACATTGGAATATCTTTTTATTAACAGTAAATTAAGTTATATTTGGCATTAATGTAGAAAATTTAGAATTTTACAACTGTAACATCTAATAAAAGATCTATTAAGTATTTTGTATATTGAAACAAATACCATTTTAATGCAGATCCAAATTATTTTTGTGCATGATTACTCATCCAAAATATTAAAAAGTACATAAAAATAGCAACATTTCCGTGCGATCTTTAAAAAAATAGTATCTGGGCTCATGAAATAATCTCAATCATCAACACAAAATTATAAAAATATTACTAAAAATTGTAAAAATAGATGTTATGGAAAATTGTAATTTAAAAACATACTATATATCATTAAATCTAATATCAACGACTATTCAATACTAAAATAGACTTTTAAAAATAAAAAATTCTTAACATTAACTTATTAAATCAAAGTATAAGAAACAAGTTTTTATGAATTTTGAATTAAAATACTTTAATCACAAAATGAGTATATAGATTAATTGCATAGTTAGTATGGATCAATAATAGGAATTTTTTTAGTTAAGACAAAAAAATTAATGTTGAATTTTTAAAAATCCTTAATGAGTTAATAAATTAACTTAATATGTTAATGAGTTTTTTACATGGAAGTAGTCCAAAATTATGAACTTGCTGATGACATTGGAATTGAATCACACCTAGCAGGGTTATAAGAAAACGTTTCATGATTAATTGCTACATACTAAACAATTAGATCACTTTGACTCTGTCACATTTGACATCTGCCAAACAATGAGACATTAAGTTCTAGCAGGGAAACATCCACCCACCACATTATTTTTCAAACCTTGAATGCAAAGTGGTCGGTTTTGATGATCCACTGCACAATACGCATGTTAAGGATGGAAGTTTTTATTGATACTGATTTGAGAGATCAAACAAGGCTTTACATGTTAATTATCATGGCCGTAGCGGAATAGATACGCAACTGATACCTGGTACTGGATGAACAAAAAATCCAAATAGTTCCTTGAATCAGAACATTTTGATAAAACCTTAACTTCTAATAAGTAATATTATGCTTTTGTATTAAAACCCTAAATTCTAAACCCCGCACCCCTCTACCAATATTTTAGGGACTGTGAACAATTGGTTGTTCGTGAATGAGCTTAGAAAAGTTGAGGTATTTATGTCAGTATACATGAGGGCGGATGAAGTAAAAAGGTCAGAATGCGAACTGGGTTTCTATTCTGTGAAACTGGAGTATCCTCTTCAGCCGCAAAACTGAAACTGTGTCACGAAAGTAAAACTATCTTCACTTACAAGGCACACTTGAGCAAAAGTATTCCTTAAAAGGGCCCACAATGGAAACGTGGAGTAAGCAGAGGGTAGAATCCTAAATTTGAGGTTGTGTGGTACGACGATGATGAACTTTACAAACAGTGTACATGTAGGCACTGTGAAATGCAATTGGGATGAGAATGTAATAGAACGTGCTAAGAATGATATGAGTTTACTTCATGGATTGAGGTCCACTAGAACTTTGTGTTAGCGCAAGCATTTGCAATGAAATATGATCCATGTACAGATTAAACTCATTTTTGCTGACACTACTCCTTGCTCCAAGGATGAATAGACCTTCAAAGAAACGGTGAATACAAGGACATGGCATCAAAGCTTGACCTCAAGGCCAATCTCTCGTCCATGGCATTGGATCATCTTCATTAACAAATATTGAAATAGAGATATAGAAAATTCAGCTTTACTTTCCAATGCTTCAGGCACTACGATGATGAAACTTCCTTATTCCATGGCCACGCTGAAACTTTACAATAGAATTATATACGTATTGTGTGAGCTTAGCCCCGAAGTATCACTGTCATAAGGAGGACAAAACCTTTTTTTTCTCTAAGTTGCTTACTGATACATACACGAAAAAATTTATTAAAACAAATGATGGGTGTACATTCCCCATGGAATGACACAGAACGAGAAATGCCTACTACTAGAGGATTACAAGGACTCAAGATCCTTGGGGAGTTTCCTGTGTTTCTTTCTTCCAGGAGGCATAATTAGTAAGGACGTTTGATAATTTTTTGCCACCTTCTAGAACATCTAAAATTTCGTCGAGTGTTTCCTTCACCACCTTGGTTTTGGTCTCCACCTTCAATGCCAGATCTTCAGCTTCTTGGGCAGAAACGTCTGCGATACGCGCGATTTCTTCAATTTCATCTGCTGTTTTTATCACCAGCTGAGCTCCTTCTTCCACGAAATCGGCTACTTTGTCAACGTCCTCTGAAGCCACATCAACAACGCAAGCCACATTGGTGGACACACTCAATACACTTAATTCAAACTACGCATCGAAGCCCCTCATAGTTGTCGGTTTCATTTATTATTCCAGGATCAGTTAAAACACATCATTTTCAAACATTCCTGAAGTGGCCTCCTTTTTTCACTTGGTGGACTTCAAACTAGTGCTTCAACTTGAAGTGAACACATTTATCTAGAAAGAAAGAGGATGTAACGCACTTTCGACTTGCTTCAAGTAAGGAGTGAATCCTCCACCACAGAACTTCAGAATGTATCTCAATCTGCACCAAACTAATTTAATCAAATCTGAAAATTTCCAATTTGTAGTCTGAGAAGAAAAGCAATCCCTCAATGACTAAAACTTGCTGGACGATTGAGCTAGTGCACCAACACTAGCTCTATACAGTTGGTATAATGAATACAAGTATGACGAACGAGCTCTCGCATTAAAATAAGGTCGAGATATACTGAGATGGGACTTACATAGTTGAGAAAATGCCAGCTCCTATTGCCAATAGCCCAAATGATGACTTTTTTTCTTCCTCTTTTGGCCTACAGCACCATGGATTGACGGAAACTATATGAGCAAAATTCACTGATGAGAATGATTTCCGATGCATCGAATAATCGAGGCATACATACTTGTCACATTGGTTCTCGCATCATTCCGAGTTTCATCTTTAGTTGCTGGCTTGATTTGCAAGCTGCAGACCGACTAGATCAATAACGTACCCACACCATGGATTCCTTTGTTGAATTTCAAGTACCTGGATTCTTGTGCTTGATGACGTTCTGATGAACCAGATGTCGATGCAACTGAGCTGTTGTAACACATCACAGATGCCAATCCTTGGCTAAATCCATAGCTACTGACCAATAAATCTGCACGAGGTGATCCAAACCTGGCTGGTGCTAGACCTGCTCTTGTCACAATGGAATTGTTGGTGTGTATGGTGAACTCCGTAGCGGTGCTGAGATTGAAAGACTTGCAAGCGTCGACCCAGTTTGAGTTTCTAGAGACCGGATTCCAGTTGCTTCTGGTAAAAGGTGGCACACTTAAAGGTCCTGAATTCAGTTGTCTCGCACTACTAGCAGGGTGTACTAGGTGGTTGGACCCATGTAGTTGAATCCTCTGTAGTATCAATGCCCGTGCAGCTGCTGTACCCATGTTGTTACCACCAGGATGCTACCGATTTCACCTGTTTCGAATCAAGTCCACCAGTTTGATGGTGCTAGAATGGCGAGCCTTCACTCGGTTATTTAGTGACAAAATGAGGACCTCCTGGAACACAATCTGGCAAAGAGATATTAACGTCTCACCAAAGCTCACCGAACACAAAGCGCATGATGTAAAACAATGGATCTCTAATCGAAGCGGACTAGTGCATTGCTCGATCCGGTGGATTGAGTTACAAATGAACTGTTGCATTTTAACTGACAGCATTTGGAGAAAGAGCACAGGATGATGAAGAGGCAAAACTATGACAAAGAGTTGTGAATTGATGAGATCCTTGAACACGTCAACCTTCGTTACACTGTCATACTTTACTCTGAAGATTGGTATGAGGTGAAGTATAAGTCAAGGTTTACACGTCTTTTCAGCATACGTTGCTGGTGGGACCCACTGTAAGATTACTAAATCGTGTGTGACAATTTTAAGGTAAGTGAATTTGGAAAGGCATCCAAACTAGAATCCAAAGAAAAGTAATTGTGCCGTGATTTGGTAGGGGACATGGCCATGAAAAATGACAATCCTCACGAAAGGGACGCGAAAGAGCGGATGAGCTGCTGATAGTTCAACTGCTCTTGTGATAAATTCAACTTTCACGGGATATTACAGCATGAATAACGTGTTTCAAGATTTAAGCCAGTCATCAAAACCACGATTTCTCTATTATGTAAGACATGCACTTGATGTGCAGTAGCGACAGGTTGTCTGATTGTTCACATATTCGTGAGTAAATTGTGGGTTTGCGTACTGCAACTGGTTCTAATGGAACGCAGATTGAATTTCTTGAGCATGTCTTCATTCGCGAGGGTGTCATTCATCTGTATCGAGAAAGCAGATATATCTTGAGTAATTCATTCACCTCCAGTGACTATTGCCGGAATCGCCATAGTTTCGCAGTTTCTTATTCTCATTCAAGCGTCAGAGTTCCTGATTCTAATTCTCAAGGGTTCGACCATGCGAAGACATGCTCACTCTTTCGTGGTATCAAAAATTACAAGACATCAGAAGTTACAACTGGTTATGAACGAGCCCACCAATTCAGCTTGCACATCAAAGATTCTGAAATGTCTCTAGCATTGTAAGCATATACTCCGTATTCTTTTTCTAAGCTTGGGAGCGTCCACCAGGTTCCTCTCGACATGTCATACATGTACAAACAGTGTTGATAGCCTAATCTCCACGTCTTATCAGGATGCTTGCTGGAGAAGCCACCTACAATTACCAAGATTAAGCCATTGCAAGCATGAAGAGCTGTTTGAGAGCTGTTTAAATTTAGAGTTTTCAGACTCGATCCTCTACCAGTTTGCTTTGGAATTGTAATGCGTCTCTTAGTTTCCGCATACTTATGCCCTTTTAACTCTACAATCGATTGGTCAAGTTCAGGATCCAACACAAATACACTGTCCTTGTGAGCTGCGAAGTGTAGCCGAGCGAGATCCTCCTTATCGTCGCAGCAGTCAAGCCTGATCAGTCGGCAATATGCACGACAAGACTTCTAAACCTTCGGAAGCAAAAAACCAAACAACGCTTCCTCATCACAGAGGTCGAAAGTCGATTTGCTAAAAAAAACAATGATCTTTGACTGTTAAGCATCGCCTCTAGGGTTTCCCAACTACACCACCGACGTCCATCATAAATTCAGAATGCTATGACAGAGGTAGACAACGCGTAGATAAGCTACGACCCGCTCACATACTACCACCCCAACTGATTCCAGGGAACCGAAGTGAAGACGTTCGAAGCTCAGGTGGCTTCCGAAACTGGCAGGTGCGTGGACAGGAACCTATAACTTATGGGAATCTCGATTCGCGGAGTGGTATCATCGAGACTAGTTCAGAATGGTATGCGAAGGGGCACCTGGGCGAGATGACGACACAGCGCAACCCTTTTTCCGGGGCATGAACGTGAAGGGAGACACTTACTGGAACTGCAAACGAGAGTATCGGCATCGACAGTGGCAAGGACTGTGGAAACAACACATGAGTAACGAATCCCTTTATGGGTTCCCCTAACTGACCCTTCAACGATGGCCACGAATCACATGAACATGCTGAGCTCACTGTTGTCATCGATTGCAAGGAAATCCATTGATTGCCGGTATTCAATAATGATGCTACGATCCCGATGAGAAGGGCTTGCGTACTTGGGCCGGTTACCGAGGACAGCAACGTGTAAAGGGTCGATATTGCCCGTTCTGTGGAGCCTGTTCCTCCTGATATTCACCTCATGCAGTCATTACGCTAATTTTTCCTTTAAGTTTATATTATCACACACACACACATATAGATATACATATATATATATATACGTAAAATTTCGAAAAATACTAACATGTGCGACGAGTGAAAAATATTACGGGTGAATTGGATATCTGTAAACTGCATCGCGATCGCAGGCCCTACCGAGATTCGAACTCGGGTATTTGGATTCAAAGTCCAAAGTCGTAACCACTGGACCATAGAGCCTGAGGAACTCACCGATGGGAGACATTGGACAACTTTTTTTATCTATATGTCCTATGACGAACATTCTTGCCCTGTCAAGCAACCTAAAAAAATTCAGGTGGATACTGAGATATCATGCGGAAACGACGCACGCGGTGTGTTTCGAAATGTAACAAATTCAATGACTAGAGGATTGGCTGCCAAAATAGATCTCCAGATAGAAACATTGCCTCCTTGTGCTGGTAGCGAAGTGTTATTTTGAACAACCGAAACCTGAAGGTAGTACAAATCTTTGCCAATCCTCAACCACTGTACACAGTTCTTAAGGAAATAAAATTTAAAAATCAACCATATCCTCGTTCTGGTGCATAGAAAAGTTTCGCGTCGTCTGTCAAATTGTTCTCACAGCTACGAGATACGAGTCAAAGATTACGCATGCTCTCCTTTCTTGTGACGCACCTACGGTGTCCTAACTGGCATTTCAAAGTAACAGAAGTACCTTCGCAAACCCTAACCTTCCTTGAAAACTAAGATCAATCGTAGTACAGGACCTCTTCACAAAGGTTCCTATATGAAACCACCTTAGAGAATAGAAGAGCTGAGAAGCTGAAAAATGGAGACGTGAGAACGAACGCCAGACAGATTAACAATCATAAAGTACAATTAGGATCCAATGCCACCAGTCTGAAGGCACACCAATACAGCCATTTTAAAAACTCTGCGTAATAAAACCTAGACGAGAGGCGCGACGCACAAGTGCTGCGAAAGATTGCATCAGGGTATGCACATACCGAGCGGAGAATGCACAGCGTATGAGAGCTGTTCCGGCTCTCTGCCAAAACTACCTGTTCCCCTTCATCCACATTCTTCAGGCCCTGCTACCTCATCACCACCTGTTACGAAGATCTACTCATGGAGAGCAAGTGCGAGGAGTTGCGAGAAGCACCGCATCATCTCTCACAAATTAATGTGGAACAACGCTGCTTCAATGCTTGTTCTCACCCATACTCTACGAAAGTCCTGAATGATACAAATGCAGCCTGTCATCGACATCATGTATCGAAGGGTTCAAGGATTCAAAAGCAGGATTCAAAAACTCGTCTGCCACTAAATGTCTTACGTCAACAAAAATGTATAAAAATGTATAAAAATGTATAAAAATAAACAGAAACAAAAATAAGACTCTCAACCGATTCAGTTTTACAGAAATCAATGTCGATTCACAATTATGATCACGATGATGACAAGTCGCAGAATTTCGTCCTGCGATGCGGATAAACACAAGCAACAAAACTCTGCAACTTGCCAGCATTCAAAAAGTCTCCATAACCACAGATTAGGGCTTCGCCTAGAATGCACTAATATTCTCGAAAGCATCTAACCCTATTTCAGAGTATTATATTATAATTTTCATTTTTTTAATATTTTGAGGACATGAGGTAAAAAATTTTAAGGATCTGATCATAGGACTCAAGTGCTTTACAACTCCAAATTAAAAGACGTGTAGATAAAGCAAAACATTTTACAACAAAAATTAGAATAAAATTTTAAATAAAATTAGAAAAAAAACATTGTAAAATAAATTAATTTCTTTGATAAATTGGACATTGCAAGATATTTAGTTTTTTTAACTAATTTTTTTAATATTACAAAGATTGCATTACAAAACAAGACATTAAAGAATTGGCTTATAGCATATTATAATTGGATTATCATAAAACTAATAATCATGTTAGTAACATATTTGAGTCTTAATCTAAAAATAATGAAAATAATTGAATTGATATACTATGCTACTCTTAAATAAAATAATTGAATTGATATAATATGCCACTCTTAAATAAAATAGGCTATTCTTAAATAAAGTAGACGTCTTATACAAACTAGATCAGAACAACATGATTTTATTTGAATAGATATGAGAAAAGAATACACAATATTTAAATATATTATTTATTTAAACAAATTTAGATGTAATATATATATATATATATATATATATATATATATATATGTATATAATTGAAAAGTATGTTGATGTTTGAAAAAAGAGAAAATATTATATATATATATATATATATATATATATATATTGTCATATAAACAAAGATTGTTACATACAATACATCAAGTGCTACCAATCAATCATAAAGTATGTAATTTAAACCAAATACAAATGCACATTCAACACACTCTCAAGCTCTTAAGGACAAGAACATGATAAAGACAAATAACAAGTGAGACTTCTCTCAAAGAAAGATGACAAAATAGAAATAACTTGATATATATATTAAGAAAGAAATTACAATGGCTATTGCCAAAAGCCAAGAAAACTAGAGATTCTTAAAACTAGATTGGAGGCAAGAAAGGAGTTGACAAGAGTGAAGAAGGCTTCACTCTTGCCTCTATATATACTATCTTATTAGGGGCTACATGGCGACGTTCTATAGGACCTTCAATATGTGTTGACTTTGTAGGACACATGCCTTGACTTACAAGGTAAGTTTTTCTACATGTGGGCCACATAGTTAGCTTGGTCTTCAAGCTAACAACATGTGTGGCACATGGCCAACTTATTGACCACGTTTCTAATCCCAAAAAGTCAATTAAAGACACCCATAAAGTCAAAGCAATGTCTATGAAGCTACTAAGAAGCTACCATATCAAATATTATAGAATTAACTTATTTTTACCTACTTTTACTTATTTCTATCTATTTATACATGTAATTATTAACTTTTATGTCCGTGACATTACTCCCCCTTCTGGGAATGAGTTCCATGAGGAGCGGTGTCGTGTTGTAACACGAGTATACAATGAAAATAAAAAGAAAGGGGAATTTTATTAATATTCAGTTACCTCGAATATTGGGAGCAACGACCAACTCCTGTACAAATACTGAGTGGCCAGGTTCAGTCACCCCGTTACAGTCAGCCGGGGCATACTAAAATGCTCCATTCGATTCCAATAACGGGAGTCAGCAGGAAGAGAAGGACCAATTCACACGACGGGTTCGAAGAGCCAATTGGATCCAATTTCGAGAATCCAATCCGGGTCCTCTTATCCAATATGAGACCTGAATTGGCCGGTCAACCCAATTATGGGAAATCAAGGTCTTACTACAGATCTTAGCCAATCCGATGCGAGGACCAATTTGACCCAATTACTGGAACATCCAGGTTACTGTTGGATTCTTATCCAATATGAGACCTGAATTGGTCGGGCGACTCAATGTGGTCCCGATTACGGGGTTTGATTCTATTTCAGACTGTCCTGTTCTCTGTGCCGTTTCAGGGAACGTTGTTTTCGGTAAATGGATTTCTTAAAGGTAAAAACGCAGGAGAAAGCTCTGACGGCGAGAGCCAATTTCGGATCCAAGCTTGACGGTGGGAGCCAATTCCGGATCTAAGATGGAAGATTGAAGAAATTTAGAAGATAAGGTTATGGGGGATATAGTTTTGAAAAAAAAAGTTTTTGAGGGAGAGTTTTCAAGTTTTTGCAAGGTTACTAGTTCGGTTTTCATTGGAGGTTTTTGAAGATCAAGGGGATTAGAGAAGGGGGCTTCATGCTTCGGGTCGGGGAAGGAAAGACATAGAATTTGGATTTTTCTTCTTCATCGAGTTTTGGGAAGGCTGAGGCAATCGCTGCTGAAGTCAGTATTGTAATGGTGAATCGGGATTTTTAATGAAGTGGGTTTGAATACTCTCGACTATTTTGTAAAATCGAGTTACGTCTGTGATTGAAGGATTAAAAGGGTGTCTATAGGATTGAGTATGCAGAGTGAATGAAATTTATTGGGTTAATCTAACAAGACAGTCAGTGGATACAAGATCGTAAGTACAAAGCGGTATTGAAGATTAACAGTTTGGGTTGTTTGGGGTTCTCTGTAACGTCTAGAGACCTACCGACTGGGACAAAAAGGACTTCGACAAGCTGTCGAAGAGCATCCGTATAGATTTATGGTACATTGTTGCAGTCGTTTATATTCCAACAGTCAAAACTGATAGACTGCTTGACTATCGACGAATCTCCATACTACCTTCTACAGCCAGACGCCCGGCGCATTCTCGAGCAGGAAAGCACGTAATACGAGGTAAGGGGTGAACCTGACGTGAAAGCTTGAGGTGGAAGGTATTGGATTTCGGTTGATTTTATCTTTATTTTTATGGAAAACAAAAATAAAAATTTTGAAGGATTTTTGGGAGGAGTTTCTGGTGGGGAGTCTTCTAAAGGACAAGGTATGCACATGGATCCGTCTATCGCTAGTTTGTTTCAAGCCTTCTCATTGTCAATGCACCAACAGCAAAGCAATGATCGAAAGGAAGCTTTGGCAACCAAAGCATTGCAAGCAGTGGTCAATAAAATTGATCAATTTGATGGGAGGAATATTTCAAGGTATTTAAGATGTTATGTTCGTGAAATGGAATTAAATCGGGTTTCTGAGAAGAAAATGGTTGCACTATTTGGACTTGCCACGATACCGGAGATAAGAGACCACATTACATCGATTACGGTGTCGTATTACGTGCTTTCCTGCTCGAGAACGCGCCGGGCG